CTTGATGTTTTCAAATTCATTGGTATGGTGTTTCTAATATTTTATTATTAGCTTTTTGAAAGACCCTACACTACCCTCTCTCCAAATTTTATTCTTATTTTTTTTTATTTTTCTTCTGATCTCTTAGTCAAGTTTATTAGCAGTTTTACCAATTTTGTTACTTGCTGATTTATTTGCTGATCTTTCTATAATTTGGTTTAACCTTTGTGTGTGATGTGTGTGCGTGTCTGTGTGAGTGCTGGCACACTCTGTGCCTTCTTATATCTAGGGGTCTGTGACTGTAAAAACTATTTTGTACATGATGGTCATTTCTATGCCTGTGTTTTTGATTTCCATGTCTATGGGTCTAAATCATAGAAAAATATTGGCAGCTAATCTTATGGTGATTGTGTATCTGAAAAGCTATTTTCTAGAGAACTATAACCAAGTTTTATTTTTAATTTAAAAACAGTTTATAGACTGGCATGGGAAATGTTACTTTTATTCCGTACATACCACTGTCATTAATTGAATACTTGCTATAATACCATACTATGGATTTTAGCAGTGCTTTATAATTTTGATAATTTATTTTTGAGACAGGCTATCACTATGTAGACAAGGCTGGCCTTGAACCCACAAAGATCTGCTTGCCTCTGTCTCCTGAGTGCTGGGATTAATTCACGTATTGCCACGCTCGGCTAATTTTGATATTTTACATGAATTATCCTACAGATACATCTAGGAGAGCCTATAGCAGCCTGCAATTTATCTTATTTTAGTTGTGCTAGGCATCAAGGCACATTCTACCACTGAGTATCATCCCTGATTTCTAATATCTTAAAAAAATGGGGGTAAGGCAGCCCTGAGGATTGAACTCAGGGCTTTTCACATGATAGGCAAGTGCTCTACCACTAAACTACATACACGGGCCTTGGTTTTTTAAATATTTCATTAATTTATTTTTTGTATGTATGAATGTTTTGTCTCATGTACTTAAATGCACCGTGTGTGCAATGCCCGTGGAGACCAGAAAACGTCAGATCTCCTGGAACCAGAGTTACAGACTGTTGTTAACCACCATGTTGATGCTTGGAACTGAACCTGGGTCTTCTAGAAGAGCAGCCAGTGCTGTTAACTTCCGAGTCATTTCTCTAGCCACCTGGCCCTGGATTTTTTTAACTGAATTTTTGTAATTTTTATACAATGTAATTTGATATTTAGATTTCCTCCCCATCCTAATCCCCCCTTATCGACCCCACCCAGTTAAATGTACTCTGTGATATATAAAATAAGGCCTATAGAGTCGAATTTGTGCCCACAAATGTCCTTCAGTGTGGGTCCATCCATTGGAGCCATGTTAACCTACCAAGAATCCCATGCTTTAAAGAGACTATTTCTGTTCCTCCCAGCAGCCATCTGATGCCACAGTTTCCTTAGGTGGGGTTGGAATCTCTTACCCATTTCCTCATGTCTATGCTGGGATTTTTTTCTGGTCTAAGCTTGCATTGGACTTGTGCATGCTGTGTTCATATGAGTAACTGACCAGCTGTCTGTAAAAGTCTGTTTCCTTGTGGTCGTCCACCACTTCTGGCTCTTACAGTCTTCCCACCCCCTCTTCTGCTATGGGCCTTGGGATGCAGAAGTTTGATATAGGTGTGCTATTCAGGGAGAAGCACTCTGCAGCCTCTAGTTCTCTGCATGTTGTCCAGTTGTAGGTCTCTGTGTTAATCACCATCTATTGCATAAGGTAACTTCTCTGGTGAGAGAGATGCATTAATCTACAGCTATGCCAATAGGCATTAAGAGTCAGTTTAATATGATAGCTATTTAGTAAAAAACTAATACTAGTTCTGCCCTATGTCCTGTGACCTGTCCAGTCTCAGGTTCTTAAGCCTGATATCAATGTCAGGTATGGGCTCCATCCTATGAAGCAGACCTTAAATACATTTAGAAATGGTTGGTTACTCCCATAATATGTGCACTGTTCTTACACCAGTGGGCATATCTTGCCAGGGTAGTTATTGTAGTTCACAGAATTCACTGCTGGGTAAGGATCATGATTATTCTTTCTTTCTGGTGGCATGCACAGCACCTTCCAGCACTAAGGACACTAGCCAGTAGAGATGAGGCTCTGAGTGCCACCTTGATTTCTCCTGGTCTGTTCTACAGCTCATGTATGTAGTGTCTTTAGAATTGGGTCTTACCATTTAGTTCTAGTAGGTAACCAAGAGCAGGGGCAATTGACCTTGGATTTTTTTTTTAATTAGAAGAAGCATTTCATTATAGCTTTAACATACTCAATAACAATTTCCAGAGCAAAGATACATCTCTTTCAAAAGTGGCTATAAAGTTTTTAGGTTCACAGTTGAATTAATACAGTTATACAATATTGAACTCAGCATAAACCCTGTAACACATAAAACTGTATGGTTTTTTAACCTTTAAAAAAAGATCTCCATTTCATTTTAAAATATACTGTTTCTTACAGAAAGAC